TCTGGGATAGTGCTTCCTGGCTTTGGAGACAGCACATGGGGCTGCAGTCTGTGCTGCTGGCCTTTGGTACACTGCTCGGCTGTCTGTGCTCAGGACCCATGTGTACAGTGAACTGCCGCCTCCTTGGGCTGCGGACAGAACCCAGCAAGATGTTGCAGGGGAATAGCTCAGTGCTGAGCGGACACCCATCGCTCCAGTGCCTTCACTGCTCAGACTTCCCTTCACATTAGCTCTGCAAACCTCAGACCCGAGAAACCGCCCGGCTCAACTTGCACTTCTGTCGACAGCTCTGCAGAGGTTCTGTTGAACACGTCTGTGCAGAGCTTTCTCCCCCCTGGCCAGTTTGGCTCAGCGGTTAGAGTGTCGGCCTGCAGACCAGAGAGTCCTGGGTTCGGTTCCCGTTAGGGGCATGTACCACACACACACAAAAATCAATACAAAGTACACACTAGACGGAAGCCAGAGGACACTCACAGGCGACCCAGAGGCCGGTGGAGAGGGCGCCTTGCCAAGCCAGCGACTCAGCCCTGAGCCGCCTGCAGCCCTTTGCAGACCAAGCAAGCTAGTTTCCTTCGCATTTCTTTTCTTTTTCCTATGATTATTATTACTATTATTATTTAATATACTGGGATTTCCTAATTTTCTTTGCAGTATCTAACCCCTACCTTTGTGTCCTGAGACCTGGAAACAAACACTATTACATTATGGATTTCAAAAGGTACACTTCTGTACAGTTCTGAAAACAAATAAACTTTTGTAAATATATAAAGACATAAAAGCCCTGGCCGGTTTGGCTCAGCAGTTAAAGCGTCAGCCTGTGGTACAGAGAGACCCGGGTTCGGTTCCTGCTATGGGCAAGTACCTCAGTTGTAGTTTGTCCCCAGCCCTGGTTGGGGTCGTGTGGGTGGCAGCCAGTCGGTGTGTCTTTCTCACGTCAATGTTTCTCTCTCTTTTCCTCCCTCTCTCCCTCCTGCTCTATCTGAAGATACATGCAAAAAAAAAAAAGACATAAAATACTATATGACAGCACACAGATGGTGACAACACACAGAGTAGTTTTTTCACACTAAAGTTAATTTTTATGCATGCCTTATAAATATATATTGGGATGGGTGGAAATGGGACTATTTGTACATTTTTATAAAGCAACAAGTTTGTACAGCTAGAGTGTGTTTGTAAACAACTCTATTTGTAAAACACAGTTATATAATATACAGAACTATAAGCAGAGATTTTGCAAAACTGAAGGGCTGCATGGTTATTTTAAAAATAGTTTTAGGCCCTGGCCAATTTGGCTCAGCGGTTACAGCGTCGGCCCACGGTCCAGAGAGTCCCAGGTTTGGTTCCCGCTAAGGGCACGTACCTCGGTTGCAGTTCATCCCTGGCCCTGGTTGGGGTCGTGTGGGTGGCAGCCACTCAATGTGTCTCTCTCACATCGATGTTTCTCTCTCTCTTTCCCCCCTCTCTCCCTCTCACTCTATCTGAAGATGAATGCAAAAATGTCCTTGGGTGAGGATAAAAAAAAATTAAAAATAGTTTTACATATGTGGTATGTGTTGTAACCCAGGAGAATCAACCTCACTCAGACACAAAGTAGTTTTGAATATTAGGGGCTTTATTACCTGTGCAGGGACTGCAGCCAACCTACACCGAGAACTGCAGCCCCGAGCTCAGGGGAGGGCTGCTTATATAGGGCAGGGGTCACTCAAGAGTTTAGCAGAGCAAGCAAGCTGCGTGTACAGAAGCGGAGGCAGTTAGCGATAAGCAGGAGGGAACGGAGGTGGGAGGGAGCTGAGGCGAAAGGGAACTGGGTGAACTGGGTCAGCACACATCTATCCTGCTACTCATTCTATTATCTAAGTTCTAAAAACTAACAAATTCGCTTAGAGGACACATTCACTTAGAGGAGTATCGGGCCAGCTGGTGCTTCCCCAGGTTGCCTCTGAAAGCTTCCTAGTTGGCCTTTTGTTTATCTCATCAGGACAAAGTGATAGGAGCAGGTTATTACAGTATGTTAATTTGATGATTTATTAAGAAATGAAGAATTTGTCCATGGAGGTATGGGACATAAGAACAATTCATGAAATATTATTTTTAGATTTGGAGGAGAAGTTGGAGAGATCTGCATTAGAACCGACGTGTCCTCCCTGCTCCCCTTCGGAGGCAAGTGTCCCAGGTGCCCGGAATCTCGAGAGTCTTTCCTACTCACCATGAAACGGGCTGGGAAAGATCAGAACGACTGTGGTGAGGGCTAGCATGCTTCAGACCTGGGGGGTGCTGTCCAGCCCCAAGAGCCTGGAGTGCAGCAACAGGGCATTGAAAGACGCGAAGATAAGATAAGCCACCAAGATGGCAGTGGCTGCCGTCCAACAGTTTGTCTCGTTTTTGTGTATGTTGAGCAGCTAAAGCCATAAAGAATTTGAGGTTGGTTTTGAATGTGCCATGTGGATTGAATCCCAGCCACGTACCAGGCACTGTGCCAAGGTGCCCACTTAAAACCCACGACAAGCCAACGAAGGAAGTAGTAGCATTACTCTCCTTGCACAGATGAAATGACATTTGGAAATGTTTAGCAACTTGGCAAATGTCATCCAGAGAAGCAAGTGGGGTACAAGTGTGTGTGGCATGCGCAGGGGATGTGTGTTTAGGAGGTGGGCTCCCTTTGCAGGACTGTGCCAAATCACGGGCAGGGCCCCCACTGCCCTGTCCTCTCCTCCCCTCTTCTTTACTCTTTTTGTTTTTAAGAATTTTTTTTCTGTATTGATTTTTAGAGAGAGAAGAAGGGAAAAGGGAGAGAGAGAGGTAGAAACATTGATGAGAGAGAACATTAATTGGCTGCCACCTGCATGCTCCCCACTGGGGATCGGGCCCACAACCTGGGCATGTGCGCTGACCGGGAATCGAACCAGCGACCTCTTGGTGCAGGGGTTGACACTCAACCACTGAGCCACACTGGCCGGGCTCCTTTTCTTTACTCTTGATGCCCACCCCACACTTCCAGGAGATGACCCAGGTAAGGCATTGTATTGCCAGAAGTAGCTCAGTAAATTTGCATCTGCACCAAGTGGGCCCCTTCCTTCCCCAGACGTCATTCTGAGCAGAAGGAGGGCGAGCAACAACACTGCCCCTCACCTTGTGCCCTACTGTTCATTGTTCCCCCATGCTGGACACTGGGCACCCTCTGTGCCCGCAGGGTTTTCCTCTCCCTGCAAGGCAGCCAAAGGACTGCAGGGCGAGAGGCTGAGGGAGCTCGCCACCTACAAGCCTGTGCCGAGGAAGGCAGCGCGCGGGACACTGGGGACACCACGGGTCCAACCTCACCTCCACCATTGTGAGGGGGATGACCTGCAATTACTCAAGTCTGCGTGGGCTCAGTCTCTGTCTGTAAAATGGAGATGGTGATGCACCAGCCTCACAAGCTGGTCCCGCTGTTTAGTGCTGTCAGAAATGCAGAGTACCTGGGCCACCACGGGCACTTAGCAAACACGGGCCCTTCCTGCCGGGGAAAGGCCTGTGACCCTGCCTCTGCCCACGCCACCCTGCAGGCGACAGACCTGGGCCCGTGTGGACAACAGCTCACCATTCCAGACTCACATGCAGTGGAACCTCGGAGGAAGAAGTGATCGCAGAGTTAGAGAACATATGTCAGATTACGGTTTGTAGTCCAGGAGCAAGAGCGACTTGGTCAATGGCACAAAGCTAACTTTGAAAGAGTTGGGAGGAAGCTCAGGCCCCCTGATCATACTGCACAGCTGCCTCATGAGCCCACGCCGTAAGGTGCCGACGAAAACAGCCTGGACAGTAGCCTCAGTTACACTCTGAGGGCACTCTTACATGCCATGCATCTGACACGCATTCCCTTATAGATCCTCCTAACAACCCTGGGGGAGAGGTACGTCTTCCCCTTTTACAAATGAGAAAAGGAGGTGCAGGAGGGACAGGTAATCCTTCCCAAGTCCTACAGCCAGAAGGGGGCTGACCAGACTGAAGCAAGGTCCTGACCACTTGTCTTGGAGGGCTGAAGGGGGAGGAAGGCAGGCAGCCAAAGGTAAAGATGACAGACTAAACCTCAGAGGTGCAGATTAACATTTACGAAAAGCAAATGAGCTATCGTTACTGCAAGAAGAAATTCAAGCAGAGGAGTTAGCAAGAGCAGTTCAGAAGAGCACAAGGCAGCCCAGCCGGTGTAGCTCAGTGGATGGAATGTTGCCCGTGGACTAAGGGGTCCTGGTTCAATTCCCGGTCAGGGCACATGCCCAGGTTGTGAGCTCGATCCCCAGTGTGGGGCGTGCGGGAGGCAGCCAACCGGTGTTTCTCTCTCATCCATGTTTTTATCTCTCTCCCCCTCTCCCTCTCTAGCTAAAAAAATCAATAATAATAATTTAAAAAAAGAGCACAAGGCAGACAGACGGAGGTCTTGAATGTCAATCCAGGCAGAAAATATTCTGTCCATTGTTTGGTTAGGGAGACGGTAGAGACTGAAGACAGGCGCTTGAGAATTCTATAGTTGTGGGGACTTTTTGTTATCTTCACTTGAAGATCTGTCTTTATCACTTTTAGAGAGAAAGGAAGGCAGAGACAGGGAGGGAGGGAGAGGCATCCATTGATTGCCTCTCATACGCACCCCCAACCAGAGATTGAACCCGCAACCTAGGTATGTGCCCTGACTGGCAATGAAACCCACAACCTTTCAGTGTATAGGATGATGCTCTGACCACTGAGCAACCAGGCCAGGGCAGGGTTGTTTTTTAAGGCCACCTGGTTACAGAGAGAATGAAGAGGGAGAGCCCAGTGGCAGGGAGACTGGCCAGTGGCTAGCTAACTCTTGAAGCTCTGAAGAATGATGGGGTGTTTTTCAGGCATTCCTCAACCTCTTGGGGGCGCACAGCCACAAGTCCACTTTCTAGTCTCACCACAGAGCATCGGCACCCCGACTAACAACCCTCACCCATCTCTCCCCACAGGCGGTGTGGTTCTTCCACACCCGAGGCAGCCAGCAGATCCCTTGGGAAAACATGAAGCTTTTTCCCCGCTACCAGGCATTGAGATTCATCTGGCTCCCCAAGCCAGGAAGCCGGCACTTGCACCAAGACCGCCAGCTTTGGGCACCGCTGACTCTTGCTGACTTTGAAGCCATAAATCGCTGTGAGAGGCCCTTGCCGGAGAACTTTAACTTTGCGGGGGATGTGCTGGACCAGTGGGCCCAGAAGGAGAAGGTACAAGATGATAGGCTTACATTGGGTGCTTGGTGTCCCTTCTCTTTTCTTGTTCTGTGGTCTACCTGTCACTTTTATTTTTATTTATTGTTTTTAACATATTTACCTGTATTGTTGAGGGTATTACAGATGTCCCCCATTTTTTCCCATTGCCCCTTCCACCCAGTTCCTACCCCACCCAAGGCCTTCACCACACTATTGTCTGTGTCCATGGATTATGCACATGTGCATATAAGTTCTTCGAGTATTCTCTGTCCCTCCTTCCTCTGGAATCTGTCAGTCTGTGCCACGTTTCCGTGCCTCTAGACCTATTCTGTTCATCAGTTCATTTTCTTCATTAGATTTCACATATACGTGAGATCATGTGATACTTGTCTTTCTCTGACTGGCTTATTTCACTTAGCATAATACTGTCCAGGTCCCTCAATGCTGTCTCAAAGGGAAATAGATCCTTCTTTTTTACAGCTGCATAGTATTTCGTTGTGTAAATATACCACAGCTTTTTTACCCACTGATCTATTGGTGGGCACTTGGGCTATTTCCGGATCTTAGCTATTGTAAATAACACTGCTATTAAAATAGAGGTACATATATTCTTTCTGACTGCTGTTTCGAGATTCTTAGGATATATTTCTAGAAGTGGGGTCACTGGGTCAAATTGCAGCTCCATTTTTAATTTTCTGAGGAAATTCCATATTGTTTTTCATAGTGGCTGCACAAGTCTGGATTTCCACCAGCAGTGTACTAGAGTCCCCTTTTCTCCACACCCTCGCCAGTACTTGTTGTTTGATAATTTGTTGATAGCAGTCATTCTAGCAAATGTGAGGTATACCTGATTGTTGTTTTAATTCGCATCTCTCTGATGATTAGTGACTATGAGAACTTTTTCATGTCTTTCAGCCATCCATATGTCCTCTTTGGAGAAGTGTCTATTTAGGTCCTTTGCCCATTTTTAGGTGCATTATTTGACTTCCTTTTGTTGAGTTGTATGAATTCTGTATATATTTTGGAAATTAACCCTTTATCCAATGTATCATTGGCAAATATGGTCTCCCATACAGTGAGTTCTTGTTTCACTTTGATGCTGGTTTCTTTTGCTGTGCAGAAGTTTTTTAGTTTGATGTAGTCCCATTTGTTTATTTTTCCTTTGTTTCTCTTGCCCTAGAAAATGTATCGGTGAAAATTCTGCTACATGAGATGTCTGAGATTTGCTGCCTACATTTTCTTCTAGGCTTTTTATAGTTTTATGACTTACAATGAAGTCTTTTATCCATTTTGAGTTTATTGTTGTCTGTGGTATAAGTTGGTGGTCTAGTTTCATTTTTTGCATGTACCTGTCCAATTTTCCCAACACCATTTATTGAAGAGACTGTCTTTTCTCCACTGTATGCTCTTGCCTCCTTTGTTGAATATTAATTGAGTATAATGTCTTGGATGGATTTCTGAGTTCTCTGTTCTGTTCCTCTGATCTATGTGCCTGTTCTTGTATGAGTGCCAGGCTGTTTTGATTACAGTGGCTTTGTAGTATGACCTTATATCCAGTATTGTGATCCCTCCTACTTTGTTCTTCTTTTTCAAGATTGCTGTGGCTATTTGGTTCCATATAACCTTTTGGATTATTTGTTCTAGATCTGTGAAATATGTCATTGGTATTCTAGTGGGGATTGTGTTGAATCTATACATTGTTTTGGATAGTATGGACATTTTAATGATGTTAATTAGTTCTTCCAATCTATGAACATGGAATATACTTCCATTTGTTTGTATCTTCCTCTGTTTCTTTTCTCAATGTCCTATAATTTTACCTCCTTGGTTACTTTATTCCCAGGTATCTCTTTATTGTTGTTGCAATGGTAAAAGGGACTATTTTTTTAGTTTCTATTTCAGCGCAATTATTATTGGTGTATAAAAATGCCATCAATTTCTGGATATTAATTTTGTATCCTGCTACTTTGTCAAATTCATTTATTAACTCTAGTAATTTTTTGGTGGATTCTGTAGGGTTTTCTACATGTCTTACTTTTTCCTTTCCAATTTTGATGCCTTTTATTTTTTTCTTCTTGTCTGATCACTGTGGCTAGGACTTATGTCTCCCAGTACTATATTGACTAAGAGTTGGTGGAAGCAGACATTCCTGTCTTGTTCCTGTTCTTAAGGAAAATGCTTTTAGTTTTTGTCCATTGAGTATGATGATGGCTTTAGGTTTGTGGTATATAGCCTTTATTATTTTGAGGTATGATCCCTTTCTTCCCACTTTGCTAAGGGTTTTTATCAAAAATGTGTGCTAGCCCGGCCAGTGTTGCTCAGTGGTTGAGCATCGACCCCTGCACCAAGAGGTCGTGTTTGATTCCCAGTCAGGGCACATGCCCAGGTTGTGGGCCAAATCCCCGGTGGGGGGCATGCAGGAGGAGGCCAGTCAATATTCTCTCTCATTGATATTTCTATCTCCCTCTCCTTCTCCCTTCCTCTCTGTCTATATCAATAAAGAAAAAAAACGATTTGGGATTTTGTCTAATGCTTTTTCTGCACCTATTGATATCATCATGTGATTTTTATCCTTCATTTTGTTTTTGTGATATGTCATACTTATTGATTGAAAATATTGTACCAGCCTTGCATCCCAGAATAAATCCCACTTGGTTGTGGTGTATGATCATTTTAATGTATTGCTGGATCCTATTTGCTAATATTTTGTTGAGAATTTTGGCATCTATGCTCATCAGGGATATTGACCTGTAATTTTCTTTCTTTGTAGTGTCATTATCTGGTTTTGGAATTAGTATTATGCTGGCTTCTTAAAAAGAGCTTGGAAGTCTTTCTTCCACTTGAAATTTTTGGAATAGTTTGAGGAGGATAGGTGTTAGTTCTTCTTTGAATGTGTGCTAAAACTCCCCTGTGAAGCTATTCGGTCCAGGACTTTTGTTTGCTGGGAGTTTTTTATTTTTATTTTATTACTTCTTCAATTTCATTAGATATTATTGGTCTGTTCAGGTTTTCTGATTCTTTCTTATTGAATTTTGGAAGGTTGTATATTTCTAGGAATTTGTCCATTTCTCCCAGGTTGTCCAATTTGTTAGCATACAATTGTTCATAGTATTTTCTCCCAATCCTTTATATTTCTGTAGTGTCCATTATTACTTCACCTCTTTCATTTCTGATGTCATTTGTATCCACTCTGATCTATTATTTCCTTGCTTCTACTTCCTCTGGGCTTTTCTTGTTGCTCTCTTTCTAATTCTTTTAGTTGTTGGGTTAGATATTTGAGATTTTTCTTGCTTCTTGAGGTAGGCCTGTAGTGCTATGAACTTCCCTCTCAGGACTGCTTTCGCTGTTTCCCATAGATTTGGGGTAGCTCTGTGTTCATTTACACTTGTTCCCAGGAAGTTTTCTTTTTTTTCCTTGATTTTATTCACTTGTCACTTTTAATTCAATTCTTTGATCCATCTTGGTTTCCCTTGGTTTCCAATTGCCATCTTCTCTCCCCAAGGAAGATATATGAGCCTCAGCTAGACATGACTTTCTTTCTCTGGAACTCCCAGTCACCTTCAACAGGGTTACGCAGTTATGCCTCTTTCCCTTCATTTTTCTCCCAGTCCCACACAGCAGCTCTTTGCAGCTCCACTCATTTTTTGGGCTAGTCACAGGCTTACCCCAAAACAGTAATCTGAGCTTTGGTTTTATGGATAGTCTTCACTGGAGTAATTAGAAGAGAATCAGAGGTTGAGAAGAACAAATCAACAACCCTTCCAGAGTGTCTGCAGTGTAGCCTCAGGTCGAGGTCTCTGCTTCCTGACCCCGCCCATGGCAGGCACTGAGCTGACACTTCACTGGCGGGGATACCAAGTGCACTGCAAGGACCTGAGCTTTGGAAGCTGGACTTAGGTACTAAATATACAGGCATTAAATAACACTGAGTCAACCCTTCCTACTATGGGAAGAGTCTTCCTTGCAATCATTATGTTTTAACACCTCTCTAACACCTGCTAAACTCTCCTTTGAACAGAGAGAGCAGATAGAAGTTGATAATCTCTAGATAAAATTTAAGGGCACACTTTATTTTCAGTATACTTATTTTTCAGTAAACTCTTTTTTAGCAAGTGGTACTGATTTTCCAGTTATGGTGGTGATTAAACACATTTCCTTTTTGTTGTGTTAACCCTCACCCGAGGATATTTTTCCATTGATTTTTTTTTAGGTAGAGTGGAAGGGAGGGAGGAATGGAGGGAGAGAGAGAGAGAAACATCAATGTGAGAGAGACACATCAATTGGTTGCCTCCTGCACAACCCCGACCCAAGCTTGTGATTGAACCTGCTGCCCAGATACACGCCCTTGAACGGGAATCAAACCCACAACCCTTCAGTCCACGGGCTGACGCTCTAACTGCTGAGTCAAACTGGCCAGGGCTCAACACATTCCCTTTGTAAGTAAATGTATACAAGTAAAAATGAATCTATGTAAGGAACAATAGCACAAGTGTAGACGGAGCTGGCAAACATTAGTGGTGCCCAAATAACTGAAGATTGAGAAATGCTGACCTATATTATTTCATCAAATCCCCATCATCACCCTGGGGGTTGCAAATAAGGAACTTGACCTTGCAGAAGTTAAGCTACATATCTAAGGTTATCAGTTTCAAGCCATCAGAACCAGCCCCCGACCTCATGGGGCTTGTGTCCACAGGGAAGGGCTGCACCTGTTATGCAGGACAGTGTTGCGAGACCCTGGGAACACGAGCTCGGAGCTGCAGGAACACAGAGAGGTCAGTGGGGGACAAGAGGAAGCTAAGAAAGGCTTTGCAGAGGGTGAAGAGGAAATTGGCCTTTGATGTCTTTTCCACCAGGCAAGGTAAAATGAGCACTTCAGATAGGGGAAGGGACGGAGTACATTTTTCCCCCAGACTATGTATAAAGTAGAGATTTTGCAGCACAGATGACTCACTTTGTAAAATCTTGCATGAGATGTGCCCTCCAGAGATCAGTCAGTCAAGCTGATGCCTATCCCCACCCCCGTGGCCCTCCACCCTGCTCTCAGTCACCTATGAAACCCACACCTCAGCCTTCTGGGTATAAACAGATGTCACATTCCTAATCAACCATGGGACATCCATTAGGGTTACTTGGATGGAAGCGAATCTAACTTAAACAAGGAAGAACTTTATTGGAGAAATAGTGGGCGGGAAACTGAGTGCCAGTCCCAGCAGGGACAGAAGCTGGGTCAGCTCCCCACGGATGCGTGAGCACCAAGAGCTGACAGGGCTGGGAGAGACTTGACGGCCCGATTTGGGTCACATGCCCACCCACTGGTCAGGGAGGGGCAAGCACCTGCGGGGGTGTCTCACCAAGACTGTATTCAATGGAAGTAGTTCCCCTACAGACAAGCTGGGGTGCTGTTGCTTGAATCCGCCAGCACAGGGGAAGTAACAGATGTCCTATTTGGTGACCAGTCACATACGCCGTCTCCTCTCTTTCTTGTATGCCTGTGGCCAGACAGGAGAGAGACCAGCCAACCCAGCCCTGTGGTGGGTGAATGGCAAAGGGGGCGAAGTGAAATGGAGCTTTGGAGAGCTGGGCACCCTGTCCCGAAAGGCTGCCACTGTGCTCACTGAGCCCTGCGGCCTGAGAAGAGGAGACCGAGTGGCCGTCATTCTGCCCCGAATCCCAGAGTGGTGGCTGGTCAACGTGGCTTGTATGCGAACAGGTCAGTGTCCATATGTAACTTTTGTAAATCAGGCAGAAGCAGAGCAAGGCTAAAGTTGCAGTTTTCTGAATTCTTAGTTTTGACTGAAGCAATGCTTACAAAGGACAGCAAAGTCAGAGCTGAAATTAAGGGCAATTGTGATGTAATAAACTATGTTAAAATGTAGGTGTTATTGTGATGCCCATTTTGCAAGAGAGCAAACCAAGGTTCAGAAAGGTTGAGAAGTTTGCCCAATGCCACAGAGCTAGAAGCTATGCAGTTGGGAGTTAAACACAAAGCCCCATAAAAGCCAGTGTGGGTACCAATGTCTCTTTGCAATGCTGGATTGTGATGTGTGGATCCAGGTGATCTGGAAGACACTCTCTGGGTACCTTTGGGTTCTTCCTGATATGAAAATACAAAAGGAAGAAAAAGCATTTTAGAATGCAACGACTTGTAAAAATATGACTGTGGACCCAGTTGGAAAACCTCTGCCTCTTTCCAGACAAAAAGATGAACATATTCAGTGACACATTTTCTCCCAAAGTAGTCATGTATAATGTACCCCCAAATTCTACGGGATACTTTTCTCCTCTAGGACAGAGGTCAGCAAAAACCGTGGTCTTTGAGTTGGCCACCTGGTTTTGTAAATAAGGTTATAAGATGTAATGGAAGGCAGCCCTGCTCCTTTGTTTATAGACTGTCCGTGGCCCTTTCTGCGGCAGCAGGCTGCTCATCGGGACAGAGGGCCCAGGCCACAAAGCCCAGCTTTCTGCTACCTGGCACCTCACAGAACATGCTGGCCACTGCCTGCTCTAGAGCATGACCTATGTGTTTATCAATCAATGAACAGTAAGAAAATACTTCTGTAGCCCTGGCCAGTTTGGCTCAGCAGTTAGAGTGTCAGCCTGCCGTCCAGAGAGTCCCGGGTTCAGTTCCCGCTAGGGGCGCGTACCTCAGTTGCAGTTGGGTTGTGTGGGAGGCAGCCACTCAACATGTCTGAGTCCCGGTTCTGGCACGTGCCCGCGGCACCTGTGGGCCAGCTACCATGTGTACACCACAACTGGTTTTAAGCGAGAGACTAGGCACATAGTAAGTGCTCAGTAAATGGTCGTGGCTCTTTACACACACTCTGCTTCTTCCTGCTGATTTGCTTCGGGAACGAATCGCCATCCTCGGCCATCCTCTCATGGCCCCAGCTCTCTCCTCATAAGGAGCCGGCGCTCTAAAGTCAGACCGTGTCAGACCAGCGCTCAGGACGGAGTGAGCAGGCGGGGTTCACTCAGCATTGCCTGGCAGTGTGGGCACACCGCGCCCAGAGCACGGGGAAGGCCCTGGCCTGAGGGCAGACTCTGCCACTCGCCAGCTCATCTCAGCCCGTCACATGGCAGCCACTGCAGGGACCCATGTGGCTGCTTAGAACAGTGGTCTCCTAGCTTTTTGGCTACACCATCTACCAACAAAAATATGTGGGACACACATCCTCCCATCTGCATACAGTTATTTATATTGTGCTGCACTAATATAATAGGCATGTTATAAGATATGTACAAAAATGAGATAAAAAGAATTCTAATATTTCAATAATTTAAAAAATATTTAATTTCTTTTCTCATCCCCTGTGAATTCTCTTGCAAAAATCACTTTGGAGACCACTGGTTGAAAAGTGTTCATGAAAATGTGTTACAGTATAAGCTATAAAGAGCTATTTAGTGTTACAGAGTAGTGATTAAAATGTCCCATGAAAACACTGCATAATCATGGCCCCCATCATGGTGCCTCCTGTATGCCAGACACTTACCACTGTTTTCCCATCTTACAGATTAATAAAGGAAGGTACCGAGAGATCACGTAACATGCTCAAGGCTAGTAAGTGCAAGGACAGTGTTAGGCCCAGGGACTGTCAGACTCTAAGGCAGGCACACAGCTCGAGCGTCCACCGTCCACGGCCTCACCTAATGGACAGCAGTTGTGTCCAGCTCTGGCTCCTCTGTCCTTCCCAGGGCTTGTCTTCATGCCAGGAACAGTGCAGCTGACTGCCAAAGACCTGCTCTACCGGCTGCGAGCCTCCAAGGCCAAGTGCCTTGTGGCCAGTGACGAGGTGGCCCCAGCAGTGGAGTCCATCATGTCGGAGTGCCCCGACTTGAAGACCAAGCTCCTGGTGTCTCCCCGCAGCCGGCACGGGTGGCTCAGCTTCCAGGAGTTATTTCAGTAAGTGCTTTCCCCACATCATCTGCAGAACCAGCAATAACAACACTCCCAGCTACATCCCAGAGTCTCCTTGCCTCCAGGGACTCAGCAATACTGTGGGTTGATCTGGGATCCTTCCTAGAAAAAAATCACCTAATGAAAGGTTTTAGGAACAGAAAGAAGGGATGCGGCGCTGCCTCCATTTCCCTGCACCCCACCTCAGCCTGTGCTGAGTACCCTGCATGATGGTCCTTGCCTAACTTGTGGACCACATCTCTCACCATATCCCTGCCTTGACTCCCTCTAGCCCTATTCCTCAAACATGCTCTACCCCAGGGCCTTTGTACCAGCTGTTTCTTCTGCTGGAATGCTCTTCCCCAGTCCTTTCCCGTTGGATTTCAGCTTGAATGTTTTCCTCTCGGTGAGGCTGTCCCTGGCCGCCCATCTGGAGCAGAATTCCAAGCCACTCTGGAATGTGAGCCTTCGACACTATCTGAATATCATGTCCAGTCGCTTTCCCCCTTATTTACTGTTTTTCTCCTCTACTGTAGGGCTTGGCAGAGTAGGGCCCCTAGACCAATTCTTGCAAGGCATCTGCTTCTGTAAATAAAGTTTTACTGGGACATGGCCACACCCCTGTGTTTACACACTGTCTGTGCTGCTCTCGTCTCACGAGAGCTGAGGCAGGTGGACACAAAGAGTGCGTGTGGCCCTCACAGCTGGGGACTCTACTCTCTGGCCCTCCCAGAGGAAGTGTGCCGACCCCTGACCCAACCTGTGAGCTCCGGGAAGGCAGGGCCTGTCTACTCGGTCCCTCTATCCCCAGTTCCTACCATGAGGTTGGCACTTAGAAAATACTCAGCAAAGGGACAAACAAAGCAGATCACTTGCCCCCTGTTTTCATCATATGTAAAACAGGAATAATTATACTGCACATATCTCAAGGGGAAGTTGAGGATAAACTCAGCTCATATGTGAGAAAGTTCTTCCTCAACTGTGAAAAACAGGAGTCAGTGTTAGTGAACAGTATGATCCTTCCAATGGCTCTTCAACAGCTTATGTTGAAAAAAATTATTCCAGAGAAATGTATAGAAGAAAGACATGAAACCCTGTTGAATAGCAGAGCAGCTGCCTTTGTGGGAATAACATTTTATCCTGCTAATTGATACAAATCAACGTCTATTGGTCAATCCCAAGATTCTCTTCCCAGGGCCATGCCAGTGGCTGCTGTTTGTGCCTTTTATAACCTGTCGCTTCGGCGAGGGCAGGTCTGGCTCTGAAGTCCACCCTCTGCACAGCTGTGGGAGGGTGGCATCCCCGCACGGGGTGTCTGGGGCACGCAGAGTGCTGAGCGTAACGCCTGGCACAGGCTGGAGTGACTACCAGGACGATCCTGCGTGTTCAGGTCAGCTCAGCCCCCAGCAGTGCAGGGAGCCCCCCAGGGCACTGGTACCCAGATGCTCTGAACACGCGTCTCCACCGTGAGGCAGTTTTACCACACTCCCCTGGCACATGCGTATTTCCTTATTTATGCATCAGATACATGTACTTTTGTGCATTGCACAGATGTGAAAAACAGACATTTTAAAGGGTTAATAAAAGAATACACATAATTTAAAGTTCCCCGTCTTCGTTCCCACCCCAGCTGTGCTGCACACCCCCTGGCCGCAAGCACCCCACTTCCGAGAGCCTGTCTGGAACACCCTGCCGCACTCTGCTGGTGCCCTGGGAGCCGTAGAAGTGCCACACAGTTGGCAAAGCAAAACGGTCTTTGAACTCATGTGAATTTAAAATGGAAACTTTCACATTTGTGGGGATATTTTTCAAGATGAAGGGAATCCCCACTTCAGACGAACAACTTGGCAGAGTCGCAACTCCGCAAGTGCACGACTGTTTCTCTACACCTGAGGACAGGAGAGCTGGCATTGCCCACAGGAGGCAAATCCACACAGCAGGGGCCGGGGGCTGCACGCTCTTAGTCAGTCCTCTGTTCCAGGAGTAGCCTCAAGGCCTCTCGCCCTCCTTCTGCCTCTCAGTGAGAGCAGTCCCCGAACACTCTCCAGAATGTTTATAATATGAGGCAGAAAAGGTCAAAATTGTGGGCCAGACTGGTGTTTCTCCTTCCCGGTGGGTCTGGAACCCTGAACCTGGTCTTGAGGAGACGGAAACGATGTTCCAGGCGGAGGAACGGCAGGAGCACAGATATGGAAGCGAAACACGCCCCAGGGGCAGGGAATGGCAGCGTGGTGGCTGGAGAACAGCCCTGAGGCCCCAGTGGAGGCAGGTCACGGCCTCTGCTAAGACCTCCTGTGCATGCTGAGTCTTACCCCGCACACAAGGGGAGCCACTGACAGTTTTACAAAGGGACGTGTCAAGGTCAGTTCTGGGTTTTGAAAAGAGATCTCTGGCAGCTGTATAGAGGATGAATTTGAGAACCAAAATGGCATCAGAGAGACTGTCTTGGAGGCTCGTGTAGGGACAGACGGTAGGGTCTACACTGAGCTCCGGTGAGTGGTGGCTCCTCTCAGCTGGAGAAAGAGTATAAAGTTATACATGTTGAGATTGAGGGGTCTGCAAACGTCCAAATATCTAGCAGGTGGTAGATACGAGTCTCAGACTCAAGGAGATAAAGATACAATTCCGGAAGTCATGATCATTTAATAAGTTCTGAAAAATCCAGAAAGACATAACCGAAGTGTCCCAAGCCCGACCATGGAGCGACTGCTTGAAAATCTCCGTGTCACTCACAGATTGTAATATCTCTTCTTTTATGAAAGAAAAAAGTGCAAAGCCTTATATCAGAAGGTTTGTATACAGCGTTGAGAAGCCTTCAGATTAGGAGGTTTCTGTTCCCAGGGACGTCAGATACTGGAAAGAAATCCGTATTTCTGCAGCCAGCAATAGCAGCTTAATCCTAGCATCACTGAAAAGACTCAACCCAATGGAATGAAGTATTTTTCACTTTGGGGGGAAGAAGAAAGTTAGCAAGAACACCACATTCATGTTTCATAAAACTACTTGTGACAGTATAGCGTATGTTTCATAATTAGTCCTCCCTGTGTTACAGTTTTGATGACAATCTTATTCATTCATCAAGATGAATTAAAATGGTGTCCTCAGCCCTGCTGCCTTAAATCCGAGAAACGAAAACTACGATAGAAGAGTCTCAAAAAACCGGGGGGCACTTAATCAGTTATCCACTGAGTAACAAAACATCCCAAACGGAGTGGGGTAAAACGACGATCACTTGCTGGTGACTGTGAATGAGAAGTCCATGCCGGCCCCACAGAGGCAGCTGGTCTCTGCTTCCCTGGGAAGGGGGTCCAAGTGCGTCCCCTCACAGGGCCAAGGCGCCTCGCTCTCCTGCACATGGCCTCTGTCTCCACAGCACGGTCCGAACGTTTTCCCCCGCAGCTGCGCTCCTCCCTGGGGCAGTGGGAGCACAGCCTCCGAACGGGGACGGACGCCGAGGCTGAGGAGCCGCAGAGCTGCTGCCCGCCCAGGCCCCGGGGAGGCGGGGGCAGCCCACACTCAGGCAGGCAGCACATGCTTGCCCGGGGATGGAGGGGCTGTCGGAGCTGTCTGTGCAGACAGCGCCACAGATAATGTCATCAGTTAGGATGCTGTTGGCTTCCCTCATAGGAGACCCAAGCAGCAGTGGCTTAAAGGATGCAGTTTTATTACACCACCAGTGAGAAGTACAGAGGTGGAATGAGAGCTGGTTAATGGAGTGGTTTGATGACATTAACAAGAATCCTGGCTTGTTCATCTTCCCTCATGCCACCTTGGGGTGCCTGCTAATCCCTCTGGATCCCAACGTGGCTGCATGGTTCCGGACATCATGCTCTTTCCCAACAATGTCCAGAGGCCAGAGAACAAGACAGTGGGGTAGGGAAGGCAGCATCCCTTCCTTCTAACTCTCTGTAGAAGAAGGACTATTTCCCATAAAGCCTGTAAATCTCACTGAGCGTGACTGCACCATGTGCCCATCCCTAAGCTGTCTTTGGCTCAAGTTCATCAGGGTGGACCCCAACCCCAGGCTGTGCAGGGAGCAGTCTCGCTGAAGTACATGGCGGCCAGACACCTGAACAAAAGCAGTTTCATCAGTGCAAGGAGGAGGAGAGGGTGCTCTCTGGTGAGCAACCAGCTGTGTCTGCCAGAACATTGACGTATCGATAAAAAGCACTGAAAAGCCTGATTCAAATGCCAAAAGATCTCCCTTTAAATCACAAAAACAGAAATGCTAATAACAATTTACAAAGATGCAAAACTTATTTTTAAAAATTTACAGATTAAAAAAGCACTGAGGTGGGGTGCGGTGGGTGGCAGGGTCCATGGGGAAAGAGGGGGGTATCTGTAATATTTTCAACAATAATAAAATAATTTTTAAATAAATAAAAGACCCCGAAAATATCTTAGAAAGCACTGAGAAAAAAAGTTTAAATAAATAAAGCACGCATCTTTTTTATTTTAACCAGAAGTGATCCTGGCTGTGTCTGGCCTGGGGGAGGCGGGGCTTGTAAGGAGAGAGGGAAGCTGTCACAGCCAGCACTGGTCCGGCCGTCCCTCGTCCCTCGGGCTGCCCCCACTGCCCTCACAGAGGCTCTGGAGTGGTTCTGTGTTGGGCTGAGCTTGGTGTGAAGAGGGCATGCGGAGCGGAGCGGGGGCTGGCCAGGGTGGCTGCCTGCCGCCTTCAGCCCCGCCCGGCGTCCTGTCTCTCAGCGGCGCCTCTGCGGAGCACAGCGGCGTGCGGACAGCCAGCCAGGATCCGGTAGCCATCTACTTCACCAGCGGGACCACGGGCTCCCCCAAGATGGCCCAGCACTCCCAGGGCAGCCTCGGAATCGGCCTCACCCTCTGTGGAAGGTAGGGACAGACTCTGCGTTTGCTGAAGCTTCCCTGAGCTGCACCGAACTACCTGGTGGACACCCCTGCCGTGTGGCTCCCGGGCATCTCACATGTGCCCCCACAAACCGCTGCTGAGGCCCTGCCCAAGCTTAGCTCAGCACATGGCACCAGCGCACTGACTGGCCAAGAAGGACGTAGGGATCGGCCTGATTGCCTGGACTAGCCCCCGAGAGCACCTCCTCACTGCCAGGCAAATGTGCGCCCAGAAAGGCCTCCCTAGAGAGCCCAGACCACCACTTTCCTGTTTTATCTTCCTCACAGCACGGACCCCTCCCTGGCATTCCCCTGCCGACTGACATACTAACTCATTTTACTGTGTGCTCAGTCACCATCTGGCTCCCTAAAACAGGGGCAGAGAACCCCTGCCGCCCTTGCTCACTGCGGCAGGACAGTGCCTGGCGCACACGTACTCAGGGAATCTCTATCAATAGACAGACTCAGAAAAGTATCCCCTCTACTCTGAGACCAGCCAGGATCCTGAAAAAGTCCTGTAATATGAGGGAGGTGGACTTGCGTGCCCCTCGGGGCCTCTTTGTAGTCACTGAGGTTCCTGCCGTCCGCGTCCGCAGACATCAGTTTGCTTTCCTGGCTGTTGTGCCTTGTTTTGTTCTGTCTTGTTGCTTCTCCGTATCGTTTAGGTATTGGCTAGATCTGAAGTCCTCAGACATCTTGTGGAACGTGTCCGACACTGGCTGGATCAAGGCGGCCATCGGCAGTGTGTTTTCTCCCTGGGTTCACGGAGCCTGTGTGTTTGTGCATCAGCTGGCCCAGTTTGACACGGACACCATACTAGACGTAAGTCGTAATTTCCAGCTACAGCTCTCCCGTGTCTCCCCAAACCACAGAACGAATCCTGGAATACAGAGAAGAGAGAGAGATGTGCGAGAGAAACATCGACCGGCCACCCACCGCACGTGCCCCGACCGGGGATCGAGCCTGCAGCCTCTTGGTGCTCCAACCCACTGAGCCACACTGGCCAGGGTGAAAGCATTCCTTCTCAAATGCAGAGTCTTGAGGGCTCTTGAACGTACTTAACAAAGAGGAGACGGAACACCCACACTCAGGCATAAAATTCACTTGCATTTCTAATTGTTCAGGATTTGCTAATGTCACTGACTCTGTGAAGAGTCTAATTCTAAATAACAAATAATTCGAAGGCTCAAATCTAAACAAATCTGTGGTTTCTGATTAGCAAAACAAAGACAATAACAGATAACGGATACATCCCAACCCCACTGTGGAGGAGACGGTGGGGGTCACCTTCCCGCCAGAGAAGCTCCTTCCATTCTCCCAAGAGCAACTATTCATTCTCAGAACCCCGTGTTCCTGAAACAGGCCGCCCTCCTTCTCAGCCAGACTGAGGCACCAGGTGCCTCTGACTTGTTTAGCATTTAGAAAAATGGGATTCAGTCCAACTATTCTCTCTTTTTTTTAATCCTCACCCAAGGACATTTTACATTTTTCCACTTTTATTCAGATAGAGAGAGAAAGAGAGAGGAACAGAGAGAGAGAGAGAGAAACATTGATGTGAAAGGACTACATCAAGTGGCTGCCTCCTGCACGACCCAAACCAGGGCCGAGGACGAATCGCAACCAAGGTACCTGCCCTTGACCGGAATCAAACCTGTGACTCATTGGTCCGCAGGCCAACGCTCTAACTGCTGAGCCAAACTGGCCAGGGCCAGACCAATTATTTTCAACCATGAAACACCAGTTAGGTTAAACAAAATGTATATTACAAAAGCAGCACCACACCATGTGCATGAATGCTGCCCTAACCCTGTTACTTTGTAACTGACCGCTGAGAGGCTTGCCCCTGCCCTAACCCTGTTACTTTGTAACTGACCGCTGAGAGGTTTGCCCCTGCCCTAACCCTGTTACTTTGTAACTGATCGCTGAGAGGTTTGGCCCTGCCCTAACCCTGTTACTTTGTAACTGGCCGCTGAGATGCTTGCTGTGGTAGCAGAGCTGTCTAGAGGACAAGGGCTGGGATCTCACATCAGGGTCACAAAGTGCCAGAAGTAGATAAGTTAGCACTGCGGTTTCAAAACCTAGATTCGTAAAGCAAGTGTGTGTGTGTGTGTGTGTGTGTGTGTGTGTGTGTTTTTATCTTCACCCAAGGTTATTTTTTTATTGATTTTTAGAGAGAGAGGAGAGAGAGGGAGGGAAAGAGAGAGAAACCTCAATGTGAGAGAGAAACATTGATCAATTGCCTCCCAAATCACTCTAACAGGGGATCAAACCCATGACCCTCTGGGGCAGAGGATGACGCTCCTACCAACTGAGCCACACTGACCAGGGCTAAAATAAGCATAGTTTTATAAAATATTAAATATTTTATACTTAAAGTTTTTTTATTTAAAGGCACCTCTTAAAATATTTAACATTCTATTAAGATATATTAATATATTAATTGTTAATATTATTAATTGATATAGTAATATGTTATGTAATTAATCTTATTTATTATAACATTACATAGAAATATTAAAATAAGAACATTCTCATTTTATAAAGCTAACGTGTATATTTTAAGTGCTGTAAAAACGTGTATGGGTTCACACTGTTCTTAGTTACAGACACTGCATGTGAGAACAGCTGGGATCTAGGGAAGCGCACACACAGCAGAAACGCTTGCTACAGATCAAGAGCTATCCTCGATCCCCGACAATCCAGACAGCCTGGACACACGTCCTGAGAGTGTTCTCTCAGATGCTCACATTTAATGCAAACTGGCAATCTGTTATGTGATGGCGTGGAGCTGTCTAGAAGGAGGACCTCTAGAACACTGGTACTTCTCCAGATTCGAGGTGCCTTTCATTTTAAGGAGCAAGAGGCATAACGAGCCCTGCAAATCTTTTATTTTCTTTATAGATTTTTAGAAAGAGAGGAAGGGAGAGGAAGAGATAGAAGCATTGATGAGAGAGAACACTGATTGGCTGCCTCCTGCATGCCCCCCACTGGGGATTGGGCCCACAACCTGGGCATGTGCCCTGCCCAGGAATCTTCCTGGTGCATGGGTTGGCGCTCAACCACTGAGTCACACGGGCTGGGCGAGCCTGCAAATCTTAAACAATTCATAGAAAGCCTGAAAAATGCCGCCTTTGTTTGTTTCATCAATCCACTCAAAAGGACCAAGTCTTTTACAGAAACGGTGTTGGGAAGGTTTTGGTGGGATTAGCGTATAGGCCCAGAGCCGGCACTACCCAGTAGTCAGTACTTCACATCCCACCATGAGAGGTAACTTGCAGCCCCAAAGTAGAATAAACCAGTTTGTACTCTGGGGTGGTTCTCAGAGTCAGCAATTCACTTTTTGCTGAATTTGACAGTGCATGTCTCTTACTGTAACATATACATGTTCCTTCCAATAATCGAAAGTTCCCAGCAGACACACAGTCACTAAGACAACCAATACATGTTTGCATTCTTCTTCTTGTGAGACGGACACAGAGAATCTGGGCTGTCGAGATCGGCTCCAGCTGTGGCCTTTAACCAACCACTGTGACACCCGTGCCTCTCCATCCTCCAGACGCTCACCTCATACCCCATCACGACCCTGTGCTGCGCTCCCACTGTGTACCGGATGCTTGTGCAGAGAGACCTGAAGAGGTATGTGGGCAGAAACTTTCATTCGAACAACGAGCAGAAGTTATCCAGGGAGCAGATAGTTCTGTGCGGTGGGCTGTCCTGTGCCGTGTGGGATGCGAGCAGTACTCGACCTGGCCTCTACCCCCAGAGGCCAGTAGCATTTCCCTCTCCACCAGTTGTGGCCAACAATGTCTCCAGATATGGCCTGAGGTCTCTGGGGATGGGGAACAGGGCAAACTTGCCTCCCGGTTTAAGAATAACAGAGATAGCCTCTAGGGGACACTGAACATTTCCAGGGACAACCAGAATCCTACAGTTCCAGAAGTCTCACCACCTCCCACGCCCCCCAAACAACCATGAGTACATTTATACGGCCTTGAAGGGAAGCTGATGAAGTCTAATGATTTGAAGATCCTGTTCAATTTGGCCAAATCCCCTGGACGTCCAATGGAGTTGCAACGTCATGCAGAGAGACAATGAAGTAGTGCAGGCTGGCCCATCTCTGCTCCCCAAGTGTGGACGCCCAGGAGGGAGAGTGCGTGAGGGACAGAGCAAAGCAGATACGAATATTCTCTTAGCAGAGTCCATGCCAACTCCTGTGGCCCTCAGATGTGAGCTCCTTGGTCAGGGTTCAGGAGCCGTTCCAGGGCTACTCCGATTAATCTGGATAGGCCTGTTCATGTCCTCGCACACCCTCCAGCCGCTTAGACCCGCACTGCGCACTGCATCAGAGCGAGGCTGTTCCAGACTTGCCCACCCGAGTCCTGTGCTAAAAGCTCAAGCTCAAGGTCAAAAAGGCGGGGCTCTGCTACTAACTGACAGTGTGACCTCAGACACTCGGTGACCTTGGTGAGCTTCCCTTAACTCCTTCCTAAAGGAGTGAGAGCACCTGGGGGTCGTGGTGAGAATCTGATGTAGGCAGCATGCTTGGAGACACCTGACAGGGACTGAGTGCTGAACAGCGTGCTGCTCCGCGTTGCTGAGGCCTGGGCAGGCTCCTGAACTTCTCCCGGCCTGTCTCCCCTGTAAACTAGGGTTATGAGCATCATGAGAGTGCTCCCAAAGCCCTCGTGCCCTCAACCAGCTAATGCTAGCTGTTGTGCTATCGCCGGCAAATGCTCATAGTTAAGTGCTTAGTGTTACTATTAGCATTTTTTCCTCTTCACTAACCTGCTAAATAAGCTCTGCCAGGAAACTTTGTTTTAACCACTAACGTGCCCAGAACACTGTCTGGCAAGACTGGTAGTGCTCAGTAAATGTTCCTTAAACTAACTTCCTGACACTTGCCTTTCCAAGCTCATCTGCTTTTTGCTAGAACACCCTAATTACCTTGTAATGAAAGTTACTCAGATTTCTCTCCCAAAGACCCTGTGCAACTCTGTCTCTCCAGATACAAATTCCAGGAGCTGCGGTACTGCCTGTCGGGAGGGGAGCCGCTCAACCCCGAGGTGGTGGAGCAGTGGAGGGGGCAAACCGGGCTGCAGCTGCACGAGGGCTATGGACAGACGGAAGTGGTGTGTCTAGGGACCCAGGGGGAGCCTTTCGAGCCCAGGACTGTCCTCTGAGCCCCTGGAGGGTCCCATTGTGCTCTATATTCTTAGGGAGCTCCTCAGGATGCTTTTCCTTGCCAGTAGTTACCAAAGCCTCCAAAATTACCCCGTCAGGTTTGCCCGGAAGAAAATCATGATAGTTCTTTATAGTCTTCCTGTCTCCTCCCCACACGAAGTTTCAGAGGGTTACGGATTGAAGAGGTTCAGAATTGTGCGGCTCACCTTTCTTTATTATTATTACTGATGGATTGATTTTTAAAGAGAGAGGAAGGGGAAAACATTGATTTGTTGTTCCACTTATTTATGCATTCACTGGTTGATTTTTGTACGTGCCCTGACGGGGGATTGAACCTGCAACCTTGGCATGTCGGGACAACGCTCTAACCACCTGAGCCACTGGCCATGGCTCTGCAGCTCATCTTTCCATCACACTGGGAAGGACCCAGAACCCCAGTGAGGAATTTATTCCAAGGTTCCCTTAATGGTACCCTGAGCCTAAAGGAGTGGTCTTCAAAGTGTGGGCCTCACACCAGCAGTATCAGCATGTGGGAACTGGGTAGAAATGCAAATTCTCAGAACTGCCCTCCCCAAACCTATTGAATTAGAAATTCTGGGATGGGGCCTAGCAACCTACATCTTAACAACACTCCAGGTGATTATGAAAAACACTCAAGTTTGAAAACCACTGGTCTATATTTCAGAACATGAGCTCACATAGTGGAAAAACCGGTCAGAACTGAGTCCTAAGTTTCACTGTCATGATATAAACAGCTACTGAAAATAATGTTTACATACTTATATAAAAAATGTCCTCCTGATAGGGAATACTCTGTGCCAATCTGAAAGGACAGAAGATAAAACCAGGCTCGATGGGGAAGGGAGCGCCACCCAATGATGTCCAGGTGGGTTAACATTGGCAGGTCCAATAGAGAATGTTTTATATCGTTTTCTGCTGTTCATTATATAATTACTCCTAACCCATTTTCATGTTGTGGAAAGAACATTTAAAGGACGTAAGTTGTTTCTTTAATTCTAGATTATAGATGAAAATGGCAACATCCTACCACCGGGCAAAGAAGGAGAAATCGCCCTCCGTGTAAAGCCTACACGGCCCATCTGCTTCTTCTCAGGATATGTGGTACGAGAATGTAGACTATGCTGTTTAAAGGGAAGGGGGTCTGGGGAGTACAGGCTTGGGTCCAGATTTCATACTACCGTGTTACCTTGGGCCAGTCACAGCATCCAGGTCTGTCATCACCTGTAAAATGGGGAGAATATCTTCTGTCTCCCAACAGTGTTGTAGAGATTGGATTCCATGAGTTAGAAACACACCTAGACGGGCTGCTGGGGAGAGGATGTTAGATAGGGCACGGGAGGTGAGCGATCTACTTTTTATTACACTCTTGGGGCCTTTTGTGTTCTATACTATGAACTACCTTTTTAAAAATTTTGTTTAGAAATAGAATGTACAATGTAGTAGTCACCTCATGGGTGCCATACCCCTTTTGTATCCTGACCAAATTAACCCAGGGACATTTCTGGTTCCTAGGACAATCCGGACAAAACTGCTGCCACGACGAGAGGGAACTTTTATGTCACTGGAGACAGAGGTGTGATGGACAACGATGGGTACTTCTGGTTTGTTGGCAGAGCTGATGACGTCATCATATCCTCTGGGTGTGTACCTTGCCAGTGCTGGACAGTGACAACTCCCAGGGGAGATTCCGACGTGGTGGGTGGAGCTCTGAGACCTCTCCCTCCTTCTAGGTACCGCATCGGGCCATTCGAGGTGGAGAGCGCACTGCTCGAGCACCACGCCGTGGTCGAGTCGGCTGTTGTCAGCAGTCCAGACCCCATCAGAGGAGAGGTAGCGTGAATGCCACTGAGAGTAGCAATGTTACTTCCAAGTTCTGTCCATTTGGCCACTCTGAAAGGTGAATCGAGAGTAGCCACATAATTCTCACTGAGACACACACGTGGCAAAAATGTACACGGGCGATCAAGTGTACATGTGGGTGGTGCCCCAAAGGGAATGTGTCAGGATTCTTCTGGTGGCGAGTGACAGAAATTCAACTCAAACTTAAGAAAAATGTATTGGAATGTATTGGCTCACCCACCAGTGAGGTCTGCAGATACAGCTAGATGCACCCAAGGGCTCACAGGAAGCTGAAACTCAGTCTCTCCATGGACTGGCCCTGCTGTTCTTTATGTTGGCATCCACTTGGGAAGGTCCTTCCTACTTGATAGCAACCAGCTCCAGAGGTGCACAGCTTCACAGCCCCAGGGAAGGAGACACCTTCCTTCCCAGGTTTCAAGCACTTCCCAGAACACATCTGCCTATCTTAGCTCACATCTCTGGCCAGCGTGGTCCAGGAACAGCATATGCTGCCTGGCCAGATGTGGACCACATGCTGGCCACTGGAGGTAGGAGTTAGCACCAACCCCACCAGAGAAGTTGGGGTAATCCTCCTCAGGAAAATCAGGGTAGTGGCACCAAAAAAAGGATGCCAGATACTGCATAGGCAAAGGCTGCAGGTTATACTGTATGCACAACTCACAGAACTCAGAATGTATTTTCTGACAGAAAATGCAAATAAGAGACGGGCCATGTTGCCCAAAAGTTAAGTGTGTGTGACCAAACAATCCCAGGAGCCAGAGAACCCCGTGAGCAGAAACGAGAAAGGACAGCACTAGCCCTCACTCTAGGAGGAAGCTGTGTAGTAGGGAGGGGAGAGGAGTCCTCTCTTCATAAGTTTCCTCCACACTCAGCAGGCGGCACCATTTCCAGAACAGTTTGCCTGCCAGCACCCTCCCACCTCTCCCCTCACACCCTCGGCAGCCACCCTGTGGACCGCATGCACCCTGTGCACGTCCACTCCGTGCATTCCTTTCTCTAAAACTTTTCTCCTGCCACCATCTCCAGTCTCAATATGACTGATTTCAGCTGAACAGCAAAAGTAAACACAAGCCCGGCCGGTGTGGCTCAGTGGTTGAGTGTCCACCCCTGCACCAAGAGGTCGCCACTTTGATTCCTGGTCAGGGCACATGCCCAGGTTGTGGGCCCAATCCCCAGTGGGGGGCCTGCAGGAGGCAACCAATCGATGTTCTCTCTCATCGATGTTTCTATCTCTCTCCCTTCCTCTCTCTAATATCAACAAAGAAAAAAAATTTTTTAAGTAAACACAAATTAGAATTTGTGTGTGAACTAACAATTTAAACTATATTTGCGAACCTTAATAATGACCTAATTGGTGGATCTTGAACAGTATTTCAGAGAGCAGCACAAAGTATCAGGTAAGAAAGACCTTTCAAAGGTAGATGGACCCCTGCTGAGACTCTCTCCCAGCAAACACAATCCCTGCATCATGCCTCCCCAAACCCTTTCAAACCACGCGTTCTCAAGAACCTCTGCTGGCCCCTGCTACATGCTCCTGACTGTACAGGTTTGATGGAGTAACTGGTCCTCGGGAGACCAAGGACTGACTGTGAGGTAACAGGACTAAGCAGATAAAATGTTAAATCCATGTGAGACATGGAAGTGAAACTGGACACTCAGCTTTGCTGGACCAATGACTCCTCGGGCTCACAAACCACCCATCTGGACCGAGGTGTCAGACCTCACTGTCCCCACACTTCGTTCAGAGATTCAGAGATCTCTAGCACCTGCATTCATCCTCAAGCTGCTGTTACACAAATGAGGGCCAGTGTTCAGCACTGGTCCCCAGCTCTGGATGTGTCTGAAAACAAACAGTGATATACAATCCCTCTTCTCCTATAGGTGGTGAAAGCTTTTGTTGTCTTATCTGCACCCTTTAAATCATCTGACCCGGAAAAATTAACTCTTGAACTTCAGGATCACGTGAAAAAATCAACTGCTCCATATAAATACCCAAGAAAGGCAAGTATGTTGCCCAAAAGTTAAGTGTGTGTGACCAAACAAGGGTCCAAGCAAGTAAGTATGCAGATCGCATTGGCTTTTGACTTCAGGGTAGCTCATTATGTACAGAATATATGTATTTCAACTTGTCATAAGAATTTTGCTTTAAAATATTTTATATAAGGACACTACAAATGCTTGATAAACAGGAAGTTTTAATCAGCTCTGCTAAGAAGGCTCATTGACTAAATCAGCCCCACTCCATATGAGGAAAAAAGGGTGGTAAATTGTTCCTAAAGACAGTCCCTGATCAGCCATCAGCTACCATAGCTACTTGGGCCATAACACACTCACCCATGCAAAGCACAGGCCTTTAAGTGCCAAGTGACCAAATTTAAGGCTCAGGATGAAGATAGCCAAACTGAAATCTTTCCTGAAACATTCTTCAGAGGATATGAGTATGATTCTATATACTACTGGTTGATAATGACATGAGAATTCCATTTCAATGGGCATCATTTCAGTGAAAAGGTAGTTAATTTCAACCTAAGAACTAGTGACATGGTCTCCATTAAATTCACTAAATCAGGAACCAGTTGATTTTCAGAAATGTTTGAGGATATTTTTTTTTTTTTTATCCTCACCCGAGGACATTCCTCCATTTTTTGTTCAGGTAGAGTGGGAGGGAGAGAGAGGAACAGAGAGAGAGAGAGAAACATCGATGTGAAAGGGACACATCGAGTGGCTGCCACCCGCACAACCGACCAGGGCCGGGGACAAACCGCAACCAAGGCACATGCCCCTAGCGGGAACCGAACCCGGGTGTCTCAGGACCGCAGGCCGATGCTCTAACCGCTGAACCAAACCGGCCAGGGCGAGGATATTTTTTATTGATCTTAAATATGTTTTTACTGACTTTTTTAGAGAAAGGGACAGATAGAAACACTGAAGTGAGAGAGAACATCGATTGGCTGCCTCTTACATGCCCCCTACTGGGGGATCAAGCCCACAACTGGGGCATATGCCCTGACTAGGAATAGGACCAGGACCCCTCAGTCCATGGGGTGACGTTCAATCACTAAGCCACACCAGCTGGGCTATTTGAGGGTATTTTAGAATGTAATTAAGTCTTGCCCTGGCTGGCAAGGCTCAGTGGTTAGTGTTGGCCTGCACACCAAAGGGCACGTACTTGGGTTGTGGGATCGACCCCCACCCCCATCATGGCGTGGGCAGGAGGCAACTGACCAATGTGTCTCTTACATTGATGTCTCTCTCTCTCTCATATATATACATGTAGTGAGTTATCTTGAGGAAGCACAAGTGAAAGCGTAAGGAGAAAATTATGTATACTCAAAATTACTTCTAAAAGTCTCCCTCAGAACCTTCAAGACCCACCTCTTAAAAGCTCAAAACCCTAGAATTAATGGTTTCTCTGCATGTAGGTGTGGCTTCTGTTGGCCTGGGGCAGCAGAGGCCTAGTCTAGTTTGAACTGAAGAAAAGCCATGGAGACAAGGATTAATTCCGTTCTTCTAGCAGAGCACACAGGTGAATTGGCACTTAAAAAACCACAACGAAGAGCCACTGTCCTTTACTAGACAGACACATTTCTGGTGCCCCCCAAAGTCAATGAACTTAGGCTCAGACAACCCCCCCGACTGTGAAACTCAACACCAGTTTCATGGACATTCTCTCCTATTGTACTGACAGTTGGGATAAGTAAAAATGAAATCATCTAGTGTCTCATAATATGTTTTTGTTAATTAGGTGGAATTTGTTGAATCACTACCAAAGACAATCACTGGAAAAATCCGACGCAACGTTTTAAGAGACCATGAATGGGGAAGAACATAGCCTGACAGGAAACCGAGACACCAAGTACTCACAGGGTTGTTTTCATTTAGTCTTTGTTTCCTGAGGATTCGCTGACAACTCTCTTAAAATAAATATTTTTACTGGTTGAAAACTCAACTGAGTTTGTGTTTTGTACTTAGCCAAAAAATAAATAAAAATCTACAAATATTGGGAAGAAAACTGTTATGATGACCATATCGACAAAGGCAATGATTATGAGTTACAGTATTTAAAATTGCAGGGGTCAAATGACTGCTTGGAAATACACAGTGGACAATGAGTTTATTTTGTGCCTCATTAAATCAAAATAAAGATTAGAAGTATTCTAAGAGAAATGTTCAAGATGGAATTCTGCTTAACATTTTTATATATACTAATTCTTTAAGATTGATTAAAATATTAATGTTAAAGTGAGAAATAAACATATAATTCAAAAGCCAGTAAGTAAATTTAATTATAAGTACTTCCTATATGACTACGCAACACTTTGAAGCACATTCACTATAAAATATCTGAAACTTAGATCATGTAAAAGTTGTTAATAATACATTTTTTATATCTTTACTTTTTAGGAAAATGTAATAACTTTTATTGATATATAATTTGACAAATAAACGTCTTTTATGATATGCTTATTTAGTATAAAGCAAGAAATTTACTAAGAGGCAGAAAGAAAGAAAAAGTACAGAACACCAATCTTTATGGAACATATTTAGTTTTATTTTTTCTAAAAATAGCAGGAACTATAAAAAACAAGCTCAGTATTTGGCTGCACCAAAAGCAGTACAAGGAAAACCAAAGCAATACAAGTAGAACTAACACCCAGAAGTCAGGGTTCAGCTCAGGGAAACGTGTTCGTTTGTCAGAGCCAAACGAGTTCACTGACCACAACACTAAGGTGGACTTCTTAACACAGACATAATTTTTTTAATAGGAAAAGAAAAAGAAAGCATTCAAGTTCTAACCTGGAATCGCATCATTTATAAAACACGCCCCAATGCCAGTGAAAACAAACAGCTGTAAACCTGGCAACGGATTCCAGCAGAACACAGCACTTTGTAGCTGGAAGAGCAGCTCGTCACACTCAGGTCTCACTGAACACAAACAAATAAAGGGGTTAAAACAAACCACTGAACCAGAACTGTCGGCAGAGCAGCGGCTTCCACCCAGGAAAGGAGCCCCGCTCTGCAGCTGTTTGGTGTGCGCACGGCCCATCTCGCTCCGAGCCCAGTCTTGCACTGTTGAAATAAAAGTCATCTTTGATTTGGAGCAAGTCTAACAAAGGCACCAAAATCCTGTCCTGTGTCCCCCAAAATGACAACTGAATGCTCTTATCCTTTCAAAATGACTTCAATGTATTAAGAGTTAACACTCTAAGTATATAAGTCAACATATGTAAGGAAGTCCCAGCTACTGCCCTAGCAAGGCCCTGCCTGTTCTTTGCCCCTCCCGAATCCTTCTAGTGTGGTCTGCCAAGCAGGACCCGACCTAGGCTAAAAATATATTCCCATGTGCACAGGTCATTAAACAAACAAAGCCACTGGTGTGGGGACACTTACCATTTGTATTTCCAAACTTTTTAAAACTTAAGAATACATCTCTAAAAGCTAACTTCACAGCCTCTTGATACTCCCAATCTGCACATCTCGCCATCCTCTCTGGTGTTTTCATAGTTTTGTCCCAGAGGAACCCTTGGAAGAACTTTGGAATGAAGGGAACCCTCACGGGCTGTGAGCATGAGCACGACTGAAGGGCGCTCGACGTCACAGAAATCCAGAATGTCAGACTAGGACTCAGTTCATTCTCTTCCCCCAGCCTCAGGCTGAGGCTCAGGAGAGGGGTTCCTCTCCCCATTATACACAAATGTCAGGAAAAGGAGGGAAAATGCTAATTAACTTGGTTTTGCAGCTCTTCAAGTTTTAGTGGATTGAGGCTTGTTACTTTCTTCCCTTTCAAGCCCACGTGCTTGTTCCAGAGTCCGTTTCTTTTTCATCTAAGAATCCTATCACTTTTAAGAAAAGGCGTTTTCTCCAGGACCTTGCGAAGACGTGTCCCTTTGGTCACGCAATGAGACATCTGCTGAGCAGCAGTGTCTGTGGCCACCCTCACCTTCACCGCACTCGGCAGTCGGCCCAGCGCGTCCTTATAAGCAGCACCCTGGCACCTTCAACGCGAGCACCCCCTTGACAAACCACTGGTCTCTCTACGTAAGAGCTACGTGCTCTTTGTTCAGGTGTTAGTTTGGGGGTTTAAGAAAATACTCTTGCCCTGGCCGGTTTGGCTCAGCGGTTGGAGCGTCAGCCTGCGGTACAGAGAGACCCGGGTCCGGTTCCCGCTAAGGGCATGTACCTCGGTTGCAGTTTGTCCCCGGCCCTGGTTGGTCGTGCGGGTGGCAGCCACTCGATGTGTCCCTTCACATTGATGTTTCTCTCTCTCTCTCTACCTCTCTCTCCCTCCCGCTCTATCTGAACAAAAATGGAAAAATGTCCTCAGGTGAGGATTAAAAAAAAAGAAAATACTCTTGCATACATGAGTCTCCAATAAAGTAACAATTTTTGTAGCATTATCCCAAACTTTCAGTTCATCCAGTGTTTTACATCAGCACCTCTCTGTGAAGAAAGCAGTGCGCTGTAACATCAACATTAGGAGGTTTTCTTTCTTTTTTTTTTTTTAATTAAAATGAGGTGAAACTTGTAACGAAGCCACCCACTGATGGTGTACGACGTGCAGGAGACAGACCTCTGGTTTCAGACATGAAGACCATTACATTTACACCAGCCTGCTCAGGAGGCATTTAGCAGCGGAAAGGTTTTCTTGAATTTCATCATTTACAAATCCTGCAAATGCTGCCCTACGTCGAATATTCCTCATAAGTTATACAAACGTCTAACCACTATACTGTATATCTGAAACTAATATAATATAGAATGTCAAGTGTAACTGAAAAATTAAAAAATAAATATTTGTGGAATCTGTTGATGTGTCAACCTAGATAGAGAAGCTGCTGCTTTGCAGTTCATGACAAAAAAACTTTTTAGCATCATGTGACATAAGTCAATTTATTAAACTAGAATAAAATCTTCGCAATTTCTTGAACTTCCTGCCCTGGCACTTCAATGTTGGTGTTATCAGTCTTACCAACTACGTGACACTCTACTTTGTAGGACAAGTTCTGTTGCTAGGTGATTTGCTTTCTAAACCTTCTCACTGAAAGTGATTTCTTTAAACAAAAGCTTTACTGATATTCCAAAAACCATTTAAAATAATCAATGTCTTTACGTATCAAACAGCTATAACTCATAGTTACAACTGCTGGACCAAATACTAGGCTTGTAGGTTGCATTCCACTGACCACGTGCAATGCAACAGGACAGCTTGTATTATACGTCCACATAAAACATAATACAGTAGATGTCACTGTAAAGAAAGAATCTGCCCCTTGTTGTACCAATACACTCAGGTAGCTCAGAAGACTGTACTTCTGCATCACTAACCTCATCAGAAATGTCTGTGCTGTGTGCCTCACACAGTCCTTGTCCGCCTCACACCTTGCCTTCAGAAATGTACTAGCAGACCATCAGATTTGTTTGTAATACACAAATGTTAATAAAAAACAAAAACAGCATAACAGCTGTTTCTTAATCACAAAAAGTTCAAAAATTTCACAAAACAATTCATTTCTAACCTTTAGGACCCATCTTTCTGCAGTTTACAACCAAGTGTCGGGAGACAACTGAGCTGCAACACACAAATTCCTTCCTGATAGTGACCATGTCCCTCCAAATGTGTACCTGACAGAGCGGGTCCCCCCATCGGTCAGGTGACAGTGCAGAGGAGGTGGGGAAGGTCATCATGAGGGAGAGGCCAGTGTCATGCCCCTCCCACACTCCTCCATGTGACTGTGCTCACCATCACCCACCACTCCTCCCAGCCCACCAATGCAGGTGGGCCGACCGCACATGGCCACACAGGCTGAAGCAATCTCTAAGAAAACCGCCAATGGGCTGCTGTCCCTGTTCACTACCGAGAGCGTGCCATTATGCAGCACAAGTTCAAACACAAAATTTCAGTAACAATTTAATAAAGAACCCAACAGCACTTGCAGAATCCCAGTTGAGAAACTCACCTCCAACACCAAGTGATGTTTTCTATGAGAGGTCATTCTCATTCGCCTCGGATCCTTCTGGGACTTGACCTGCAAGTTCAGGCTTAGCTCCTCCTTCACTGGCCACCTGTGCCTCAGACACATGTTCTGTCTGCCCCAGCTCCTCACTGTTCTCTGGTACCACCTGCTGGTTACTTTTTCCTTCCGCTTGGTCATTTTGACTTGCTAGGTCACCAGCTTCCAGTTCGGCTTCCTCCCCATTTCCTGTGTGGGCTGTCTGCTTCGAGTCAGGTGGCGGGTCCTTAGCACTCTTCACCACCTCCTGGAGATTATACTTTCGAAACAACACGTAATCTCTCACAACACTCAGGCAACAGACTGCTTTGATGATTTCTACTACCACCGTGTACTGAGGATTGGTAAGATCCACTTTGTTTTCCACGTTGAGGCTTCCTACTATTCCTGTAACAAAAAGAGGGAAACACTTAGGCTGAGAAAGATGCCGTGAAGCTCGATGAATACCAACAGTCTCTCAGCTCTTTCTGCCTGGGACTTGTTAAACCAAAATACACAAGTCCACTCTTCTACACAGACCTCAGTCACATACCCTGAACTCTTTTTTCTTTAATCCTCACCTGAGGATATTTTCCTATTTATCTTCAGATACAGTGACAGGGAGAGAGAGGAAGAGAGAGGAAGAGAAAGGGAGAGAGAGGGAGAGAGAGAGAGAGACAGAGAGAAACATCAACGTGAGCAAGACACATCGATTGGCTGCCTCCCACACAACCCTAACCAGGGCCGGGGCGGGGGGCGGGACGACGAACTGCCACTGAGGTACGTGTCCTTGGCCGGAATCAAACCCGGGACTCACTGGTCCGCAGGCTGATGCTCTACCACTGAGCCAAACTGGCCAGGGCTCTTTTAAAAAAATAAATGCAAATGAAATCCAGAGACATTTAATAAGAGTACCTATTTTTCCAAAGAAAAATTCAATCTAGGTGTGGAAAAGACTTAGTATCTAACTACCATAAAACCTCATATCCAATATACTAAAATCAGTTAGATTTGATATTATTTTAAAGACATTTAATGTATTTGCTCTACGCTAAAAAATGTAAGCCTCAAACCTTTAAAACACTGTTTCGAACTTTAATTTTTCAGCTACAGTTTACACGCGAGGGATTCCGCATGTTTCCGCAGTGAGGCAGTGGTCTGACAGTCACTATCTCACTGCAGAGGTCTCCCACCCCAGACTTCACGTCCCCATCTGACGCCATACAGAGTTGTTTTAATAACTGTCAGCAATTTACATCCCCATGACTATTCTTTAATTATCATTTTTACTTTTAATTCCTTCACCTTTTTCATACAGTTCTCCAACCCGCCTCCCTCTATCAACTGTCAGTCTGTATGAGTCAGTCTGTTTCAATTTTGCTTGTTTATTCTGTTCTTTAGATTCCACATTTAAGTAGAATTATATGCTATTTTTCTGACTTGTTTTACTTAGCATAATATCCTCTATATCCATCCGTGCTGCCACAAAAGGTAAGACTTTTCATGTTTTATAGCCAAGTAGGGCTCCATTATGTGTATGTACCACAGCTTTTTTTTTAATCCTCACCTGAGGACATTTTTTTTTCCATTTTTTGTTAAGATAGAATGGGAGGGAGGGAGAGAGGGAGAGAGAGAGAGAAAGAGTGAGAGAGAGAGACAGCAACGTGAAAGGGACACATCGAGTGGCTGTCTCCCACATGACCCAACCAGGGCCGGGGACAAACTGCATCCAAGGTACATGCCCTTAGCAGGAACCAAACCCAGGTCTCTGTGGACCGCAGGCCGATGCTCTAACCGCTGAGCCAAACTGGCCAGGACTGTATCACAGCTTCTTTACACACTAGTGTACTGATGAGCACTTGGGCTGCTTCTGTATACTGGCTGTAGTAAATAGTGCTGCGATGAACATGGTGATGCACATATTCTTTCAAATTAGTGTTTTGCGTTTCTTTGGACATATTCCCAGAAATGGAATCACTGGGTCACAGGGCAACTCTTGATATCAATAGATACAGAAAAAAATTTTTTTACAAAATCCATTACCCACCTATGATAAAACTCCCAGCAAAGTGGGAATAGAAGGAAAATACCTCAACATCATAAAGGCCATATATGACAAACTCACACTCAACAGGGAAAACTAAAAGCGTTCCCTTAAAATCAGGAACAAGACAGGGATGTCTGCTTTTACCACTCTTACTCAAGATAGTTTAACTGGAATTCCAAGCCATAGCAATCAGGGAAGAAGAAGAGATTAAAAGACATTCAAAATGGAAAGGAAGAAGTAACACTGTCATTTATACATGACATAATACTGCATATAAAGAACCTTATATATTCCACCAAAAACTACTGAAATTAACAAATGAATTTCGTCAAGTAGCAAGATACAAAATAAATATCCAAAATCAGTTGCATTTTATACACCAATAATGAACTATCAGAAAGGAAAACTAAGAAAACAATCCCATTTATAACTGCATTAAAAAAAAACTAGGAATAAATTTATTTATTTTTTTTAAATTTATTTTATTGATTCCAGAGAAGGAAGAGATGGATGGGGAAGGGGAAAGGGAGAAAGAGAGAGAAAGACAGAGATACACTGATCAATTGCCTCCCATCTGTGCCCTGACTGGGAATTGAACCTGCAACCTAATTATGTGCCCTGACAATGAATCAAACTCATGACTTCCGGTGCACAGGATGACACCCCAACCAAGCCACACCAGCCAGGGCCTAGAAACAAATTTAACTAAGGAAGTTACAGAAAATTATAAGACAATGAAGAAAGAAAATGAAGAAAATACTGAGAAGTGGAAGCATATACCATGCTCATGGACTGGAAGAGCATCATTAAAATGCCTGTACTGCCCAAAGCAATCTATAGACTCAGCACAATTCCTATCAAAATACCAATGGCACATTTCACAAAACTAGAATAATCCAAAAATTTGTATGGAAACACAAAAGACCCTAAATAGGAATAGAAATCTTTTTTTTTTTTAATTTGATTTTACAGAAAGAGGAAGGGAGAGGGAGAGAAACATCGACGTAAGAGAGAAACATCTATCGGCTACCTTCCTTCCATACATGGGGATCAAATCGGCAACCTGGGTATGAGCCCTGACCAAGAACCGAACCCGAAACCCTTCTGTGCATGGTATGCACTCCAACCAACTGTGCCACAAGGGCCAGGGGCAGAAATCTTGAAAAAACAAAATGGGAGAGATTGCACTACCTAATGTCAAACTATACTACAAGACCATAGAAATAAATACAGCATGGTACTGGCATAAAAACAGACACACAGATCAATGGAATCAGAGGGCCCAGAAACAAACCCACTCCTATACGGTCAATTAATCTATAATAAAGGAAGCAAGAACGTACAATGGGGCAAAAACAGTCCACTCAATAAGCAGTGCTGGAAAACTGGACAGATACATACAAAAAAATGAAACTAGACCATCTTTTGTCACCATATACAAGAATAAACTCAAAATGGATTACGGACTTACATTTAAAGGACTCAAAACCATAAAACTCCTAAAAGAAAACACAAGCAATAAAATCTTGGACATTTCTCTTAATAATATTTTTCTGACATATCTTCTCAGGCAAGGGAAACAAAAAAATATGAACAAATGGGACTACAATAAACTAAAAAGTTTTTGAACAGTAAGAGAAACCATCAACAAAACAAAGAGACAACCTACTAAATGGGAGCCCACATTTGCCAATGGCATATCAAATCAGGAATATACAAACTTTATAAAGAACGCAGACAATTCAACACCAGAAAAACAAACAATCCAATTAAAAAGTAGGCAAAGACCTAAATAGACACTTCCCCAAAGAAGACACACAGATGTCTGATGGACACATGAAAAGATGTTCAGCCTCACTCACCATCAGAGAAATGCAAATCACAACAATTAGACAGCACCTCACACCTGTCAGAATGGCTGTCAACAAACAAGTGTTGGCAAGGATGTGGAGAAAGGGAACCCTAGAGCACTGTTGGTGGGAATGCAGATTAGTGCAATCATTTGAAAACAATGTGGAGGTTCCTAAAAAAAAAAGACATTCTTAAAAACAAGTACTTGCCCTTGTATACCAATGTCAAATCTCCAAGAGAAACATACCTGCCAATTCTTTGATAACTTCTTCTCTATTCACGTGACTGTTATTTCGAGCTTTATATACAATCTGAAATGTCCCTTTATTTGGAGCTTTAAACCAGGGTTCCAAAAAAGTTTCTGCATATTTTTTCATATCGTCTAAGAAAGCCTTGCATGTGCCTGAGATAGGTAACATTCGTAGAATAACTCGAGTCTTCTTCTTTTTGGTTTTGTATACATCCTGGAGAATATGATGCACCAATTTCTCAGGTTCTAAAAGAAAAGGAAAAATCAGCACAGAACAGACAAGTTGAGAATCTAAGTTCTCAGACATTGTAAAGCCTCTTCAAACTCTCTAAAATGAATTTTCATCATCAGTGATATAAGTTAACAATAGAATATGAGAAATCACCTTAATGGATTTTAAATAAGTCTAACCAACCATGTTTTCCAATATATCTCCAGTGCCTAAGTATTAATACTATATCTAATATTTTAACTCATCAGCATTATTACTGCTTTCACCAAAAACAACTGTTCATGAAGATAGCAGAGTTACATTTCTGTGATGTCTGACTTCTTCAATGACAAACCATACTGTTTTTCCCAATAACAATGGCAACTATCAAAGTAACAAACATTAAATACTACATTTTTTTAACAAAAACAAATGAAACGAGAATCTGCAAGTCACTTAAAAGATGTAATTAATCCATTAGCTACATTTGCACTGAAATCTAGATCTCAGACCGAGGAGGAACCCCAGACCACGAGCTGCACATGGTCAGGACAGTCCTTAGGCCACATCCTAATAATATACAAATCTGTTTGGGTTACTCAGTGCTTTCAATACTTTTACAGTCGTTAACTGCATTTAAAAATCTAGAAACTTCTCCAGATTTCCAACTGCTTTTGAAAAATCAGAAGATTTGGCCCTGCCAGGACTACATTCCCTAGTCTGAAGTCATTCCAAATGACTGGTGGCAGCTGCTCCTTCTTGTTTTACCTGAAGTTACATACAAAGGAAGTAGCCAGACCAAGTTTCCACCCCGCAGTCAATGCTACATTCACCACCCCACTCCACCTTTCCACATGCCTGGTGCTGAGAGAGTGGAGAGGAGCCATGACCATGAAGCCATTTTTAGGCAGTGCTCTGTGTGGTAGGGACATGTCCAGATATTACAGGATCAATCATCTAAGGCTATTGTCGGACACACCTATCCCAAGTGTCCTGATGAAGACCACGTTATTTGCTCCGCTCTCCACTGACTGGAATCTTCTCAGCCTCCTCTCCGTGGACGCCTTAATGTCGCCAACTTCCTTCTTCAGGGCAGCCTCCACGTCGTCGTCTTCTCCCTCGCTTCCAGAGGGCTGCTGGTCCTTGTCTGTAAACTGTTTGCATGAGACGAATGAGCAGAAATGCGGGCACAGCTCATGTGAAAGCTATCCTTAACTACTTCTGTGACCCTCCCCACCCCCCACCCCGGGCCAAATAGCTCAGCTCTGACAACAAAGCTTTTCATTAAGATATTGAGACACCACCCCCTCCAAAATGAGGAGGAAGACTGTGGTGTATACAATTTGAAAATCTTTTTAAGAGCACTTTGACAGCCCTGGCCAGTTTGGCTCAGCGATTAGAGCGTCGGCCCGTAGACCAATGAGTCGTGGGTTCAATTCTGATCAAGGGCACATACTTCAGTTGCGATTCATCCCTGGCCCTGGTTGGATCATGCAGAGGCAACCAGTCCATGTGTCCCTTTCAATTAGGTGTTTCTCTTTCTCTCTTCCTCTCTCCCTCCAGCTCTATCTGAACAAAAAGTGGGAAAATGTCCTCAGGTGAAGATTTACGAAAAAAAAAAAAAAAAAAAAGCACTTTGACAGTAGGGACAGAGGGAAATGTGCCCAAGACATAAACCACTGCAGGGCGGACCTTAATCCCATCACTAGGGATTTCTGTGCCTAAAACACTCTCCTTTTGGTGAGATTAGACCAAACAGTTCTGGAATTAATAACCATTACTGCTGCTCTACTGAGAAACAGCGAACAGAACGAGGTCACGAACTTGTTCCAGGTACCAGCGTAGAAAGGGAGCTGCCAATCAGGCACCACTACTAACGTACGTGTTACCTAGCTCAGCAGAATTAAATGTGTGCCCCTGTCCAGTAAACGACAGCACTTACATACATTCAAATCCCCTCTGTACTAACTCTCCTTCGTTTAATTCTTGGGGTGTCAGTCCAGATCCCAAGCTGAGAACACAAGGATTTGCAAACGGCAATGGGACGATGAGCTCTCGTGCTATTGGTACAGAAGTCTTTTAAACGCATCTATCTGTGCATTTGAGAAGTAACCAGAACTGGTACTAAACCCACTGCCTCGGAGTACTGCTCAGGACACAGGACTACAGGCGCGGTGCCGACTGGCGCGTGCGGCCACCCCAGGAGGCCCACCTACTAAACCCACTCCACGCTCCGTGTCCTCCTGCACGTGATCTCACAAGGCCGCCGGGAGGCGTGTTTCTGAAAAGGCCTCAGAAGCACAAGCCTGGACCCCAGGAAGCGGCCTATAAACAGGAGTCAGCACGACTAAGCACCGGGAAGGGCAAGATCAGCATTCCCGCGCCGCCCGGCGACCCGACCAGGCGCGGGCGGGCGGGGCGGGGCGGGGCGGAGGCGGCCCCGCCCCGCCCGCGCCTGCGTCGGAGGCGCCCGGCCTGCCCTCAGCCCAGCCGCAGCCGGCGGCCCGCGCGTACCTGCTCCGGCCCGTACAGGTCGTCGCCGTACTCGTTGAGCAGGCTGTAGGCTTCCTCCACGCACTTGCGCTCGTTCATGTTGCAGGTAATGAGGATGCCCTGCAGCCCGGGCTCCAGCTGCCGCGGCCCCCCGCCGTCGCCGCGCCGCGCGCGCTTGGCCTGCACGTACTGAGCCTTGCTCTTGCGCTTCCCGCCGCCGCCCTGGGGAGGCGGCTGCGCGGGGCTCGCCATGGTGCGCGGCGGCTGCGGCCCGCGGGAACCTGCTCGGCGGCTGCGGCCACGCGCTCGTGCTGCGCGGGCTGGCTACGTCGGGCGTGCGCGGAAGTCCCCGCTCCGCCTCCACGCTGCGTCCGCGCGGGGCCGGTCCTAAAGCCCGTCGGCGCGGCGGGGCGGGGCGGGGCGGCGAGGACGCACGGCGCGGCCTGCCCTTCACCGCCCGAGCGCAGGGCTTGCCTGGCGCTGGGTCTGCGGGCGGAGGGGCCTGTGCACGTGCTGGTCTCCAGCCTGATCTGGACCGAGCTTGCAAAGAACCGGTTCATTTACGTGTGAAAACTCATTGATTTCTTATGTTCCAGTAATTGCCCTATAATGACTATTAGCAAAGCAAGACACACTTCACACTTACGTTGCTCTCGTCGGCCAGTGTTTCTTAGAAGGCAGTGGGTCCTTCCAAACCATCCTGCATATTTTTTCTGCTATTGAAATGGGCATCTTCAATAGACTTTCCTTTACTACTCCTGTTGCAGGACCCCAGAGGTACAAAGAAAAACAGGACACAAGTACAAAGATCTCATTAAAGTCGGAAACCTGATGATCACAATGAGAAGTATAACCTACAAACTTACCCAAACTTCTTAACATCAAATTGTCTCTATGGAAACATTTTAACTTGTAAAATATATTTGTATTAATACCAAAAATATTGGCTATCAAATTATTCACACACTTTTGACTCTGATATTGTAACAAGTGACAGTAACATTTTGGTGAATAATTATTACAAGTGCACTTGATTTGGACAGCAAATCACATGCTTCACTTTTGGTCTTCTAACTCCAGATCTACCAATCTTTCCAAAAACTATGTCAACACTTATTTTTTGCTTCTACTTATATATTGAGCACAGCCTTCCTTGGCTTTCCAGACTGTCGTTGGTAGAGACCGCATAGCAGATTTTTGGAGGTCCTCAGAGCTGGTCTATGCCCGCAGCCCCGTGTCAGAAGCATAGAAGGGGCTGGTGAAGGTCATGTTTCCTGTTTCCTTTCATCCTCAGTGCCTAGCATAGTGCCTAGTTCATGTTAAATAATCAAAAAATGTTTTTCAATTGAACTAACACAAAAAATTATAATAAAGGAAAAGGTTAAGAAGGAAAGTATGCCCAAGTCCTGATCCCTCTAAACCAAGCTAGAAAAGGGCACTGAGCTCTGAAAGATTTCTTTTTCTTCTACTGGCTACATTTCAGTTGCCCTTAAAAGTTAACATACAGAGAAAAGTAAAAATACATAGTTTGAACCCCAAATGTATATTTTATTTTTCAATTACAGTTTACATTCAATATTATTTTGTATTAGTTTCAGGTGTACAGCATAGTTGTTAGATAATCATATACTTTACAAAGTGATCCCCATGACATTTCAAACACCCGCCTGGCACCATACATAGTCAATACAATATTATTGACTATATTCCCTGTGCTGTATTTTACCTCCCATGACTATTTTGTAACTACCAATTTGTAGTTCTTAATCCCTTAACCTTTTTCACCCATCCCTTCAACTTCCATCCTCTCTGGCAATCATCAGTCTGTTCTTTGTGTCTATGAGTTGGTTTTTAATTTGTTTGTTTGTTCGTTTTTATATTCCATGTATAAGTGACATCATATGGTATTTGTCATTCTCTGTTTTACTTATTTCACTTAGTGTAATATCCTCTAGACCCATTCATGCTGTCACAAAAGGTAAGATTTCATTTTTTTTCATGGCCGAGTAATGTTCCATTGTATACATGTACTACCACATTTTTATCCACTCATCTATTGATGGGCACTTGGAATGCTTCCATATCTTGGCTATTGTAAATAACACTGCAATGAACATAGGGGCATAAGGGTGCATATATCTGAATCAGTGTTTTTGGTTTCTTCAGATAAATACCCAGAAGTGGAATTGCTAGGTTATAAGGCATTTCCATTTTTAAAAAATTTTTTGAGGACCCTCCATACTGTTTTCTGTAGTGGCTGCACCAGTCTCCATTCCCACTAACAGTGCACTAGGGTTCCCATTTCTCCACATCCTTGCCAGCACTTGTTGTTTGTTGATTTTTCTTAATTTGGTTTTTTTTTTCTTTATTGATTTTTAGAGAGAGAGATAGAAACATCGATGAGAGAGAACATCGATTGGCTGTCTTCTGCATGCCCCCCACTGGGGATTTGGCCCACAACCTGGGCATGTGCCCTGCCTGGGAATCAACCTACGACCTCTTTGGTGCATGGTTCTACGCTCAACCACTGAGCCACACCAGCTGGGTTCTTTGTTGATTTTTTTGATGATAGCCATTCTGACAGGTATGAGGTGATATCTTATTGTGGTTGTGATTTGATTTCTCTGACTAGTGACATTGAGCATCTTTTCATGTCTATTGGCCATTTGTATGTTCTCTGTAGAGAAGTGTCTATTCAGGTCCTATGCCCATTTTTTAATTGGGTGGTTTGGTTTTTTTTGGTGTTAAGCTACATGAGTTCTTTATAAATTTTGAATATTAATCCTTTATCGGATGTATCATTGGTGAATATACTCTCCCATTCTGTAGGTTGTCTCTTTTTTTGTAAAAAGTCTGAGCCGGTGGGAGATCACATCCACAGGCCAGTGTAGAGCCAAATGGCTTTATTGCATGCGCCTGGATGCAGGCGGGCGGACTCCTTACAAAAGAACCCAGCCTCGAAGTCTCTTTGTTCTCTGGGTGTCAGTCCCAGGTTTTTTAGAAAACTGCTTGGGTGTTTATGTGGCACTGGTCAGAATGGAGTTTAATTTTGTTAAAATGTTCTTAACCCTTTCATTTTGTTGATGATTTCCCTTACTGTGCAAAAACTTTTTAGTTTGACATAGTCTCATTTGTTTATTTTTTCTTTAGTTTCCCTTGCCCTAGAAAGTATGTCAGAAAAAATATTGCTGAGAGAAATTGTCTGAGCTTTTACTAGCTATGTTTTCCTCTGTTTTTATGGTTTTGAGTTTTAAATTATAGTCTTTAATACATTTTGAGTTTCTTCTTCTTTTTTCTAGCTCTCAAGTTTATTGATAGAAATACGAATAATGTGTGAAAATGGCTTAAAAATGTTAATCACTACTTTTAGTTACTAAAAGAAATTCCAGACATTCTGAATTTCAGCCCTTTGCTTTAAGTATGATGTCAGTATGAGCTTTGACAGTCTAATTTCTTTTTTTTTTTAATTTTATTTTTGTTACAGATGTTTCTCCTTTTTACCCCATTGATACTCCCCTCCCTATCCCTCCCCACCGCCTCGTCCCCGGCTTTGTTGTCCATGTCCATTGATTATGCATACAAGCATATAAGTTCTGTGTTTATCTCTTCCCTCCCCCCACCACCCTCTCTTCTGAGGGTTGTCAATCTGTACCTACTTCCATGTTTCTGGGTCTACCTTATTCCTCAGACTGTTATGTTCATTATATTCCATAAATAAGTGAGATCATGTGGTATTTGTCTTTTTTTGCTTGGCTTGTTTCACTCAGGATAATACTTCCCAGATCCCTCCATGTCGTCTCAAAGGATAAGAGATCTTTCTTTCTTACAGCTGCATAGTACTCCATTATGTATATGTACCACAGCTTTTTTATCCATTCATCTACTGATGGACATTTGGGCTGTTTCCATATTTAGCTATTATAAATAGTGCTGCTATGAATATGGGGGTACATGTATTCTTTCTGATTGGTGTTTCAGGCTTCTTAGGGTATATGCCTAGAAGTGGGATCATTGGGTCAAATGGAAGTTCAATTTTTAATTTTTTGAGGTAACATCATATTATATTCCATAGTGGCTGCACCAGTCTGCATTCCCACCAGCAGTGTACTAGAGTCCCATTTTCTCCACACCCTCACCAACACTTGTTTTTTGATGATTTGGTTTTATTTTTTTAATCTTTATTGTTGAATGTATTACAGATATTCCTCATTTTCCCCCTTTGACCCCCTTCTCCCCAATCCCGCCTTCTCCCGCCTTTTCCCACACTATTGTCTATGTCCATTGGTTATGCATATTAAGTTCTTTGGTTTATTTCTTCCCCCCCTCCCCCAACCCCTTTCCCTTTGAGGTTTGTCAGTCTAGCAATAAATTTGTACTTCTTAATTCCTTCACCTTTTTCACCCATTCCCCCAACCCGCCTCCCATCTGGCAACCAACAAAATGTTCTCTGTATCTATGAGAATGTTTCTGTTCTGCCTGTTCATTTTGTTTGTAGATTCCATTGTCGATAGATATGTATTCATTGCCATTTTGTTTGTTCATATATTTTATCTTTTTCTTCAAAAAGACCCTTCATCATTTCATATAATAACGGTTTGGTGGTGATGAACTTCTTTAACTTTTTCTTGTCTGGGAAAGTCTTTATATGACCATCGATTCTAAATGACAGCTTTGCAGGATAGAGTAATCTTGGTTGTAGGTTCTTGCTTTTCATCACTCTGAATATTTCTTGCCACTCCCTTCTGGCCTGCAAAGTTTCTTTTGAGAAATCAGCTGACAGCCTTATGGGTACTCCCTTGTAGGTAACTAGCTGCCTTTCTCTTGCTGCTTTTAAGATTCTCTCTTTGTCTTGAACCTTTTGCATTTTGATGATGATGTGTTTTGGTGTGGGCCTCTTGAGGTTTATCTTGTTTGGGACTCTACGTGCTTCCTGGACTTGTATGTCTGTTTCCTTCACCAAGTTAGGAAAGTTTTCTGCCATTATTGTTTCAAACAGGTTTTCGATTTCTTGTTCTCGCTCTTCTCCTTCTGGCACCCACAAGATGCCAATGTTGGCACGTAAAGCTCTTTATTTGACCTTCTATTTTGAATGACAGCCTTGCTGGGTAGAGTAGTCTTTGATTCAGATCCTTGTTTTTCATGACCTTGATTACTTCATGCCATTCCCTTCTGGGTTGTAGTGTTTCATTTGAGAAGTCAGCTCATAACCTTATGGAGGTTCCTTTGTAGGTAACCTGTTGTTTATCTCTTGC